TGCCTTAATATGTCAGGAAGAAGACTGGCTGAAAATAGAATTGGAGGTGCCTGGGTGGCTTAGTGGGTTAAGCGTCAGACTTTGGCTCGGGTCATGATCTCACTGTTTGTGAGTTCAAGCCCCACATTGGGCTCTCTGCTGACAGCATGGAGCCTGCTTGGGATTTTCTCTCTTTTTCTCTCTCTCTGCGCCTCCCTACTTGTGCGCAAGTGCTCTCGCTCTCTCTCTCTCAAAAACAAATAAACATTAATTTTTTTAAGTGAAATTGTACTTAATTTTTTTTATGTCTTGAAATACTTTGTATGTGGAGGTCCCTTAGAAAATACTAGGAAGGGGCACCTGGGTGGCTCAGTCAGTTAAGAGTTTGACTTCAGCCAGGTCATGATCTCATGGTCTGTGAGTTCAAGCCCTGCATCTGGCTCTGTGCTGACAGCTCACTCACCCTCTGTCTGTCTCTCTCTCTCTCAAAAATAAATAAACATTAAAAAATAAAAAAAAAAGAAAATCTACTAGGAAGAGGAATAGTGGTCAAGGCAGAATGTCAGCATTCCTTGGATATCTAGCTAAGTAATCCAGAGAACAGCATTAATTCTAATAAAACCCATGGTGAATTATGAAATAATTACAATAGCTATCAAAGTAAACAAAAATTACTATATATGCCGAATGCTTCCCGTACATTGGAAATTTGCTATATGCATTTACATTCAATAGATCATTTAAATATAGTATCCTCATGTTAATCCTATAAGGGTTTTGCTTTTCTTGTTCTACAGAACAATAATCTTCGATGAAGAAGGATTAAATGAGCTTTTCAAGGGTACATAGCCAGTAAATGCTGACTTTAGGAGCCATCTAACCCCAAAGCCAAGATTCTTCACACTGTGTGAGGAATGAAATGTTTTGAAACCTTTAAATGCATATCAGTTAAAAGGGGATGTGACAGTTCATTTTATGTGCCAACTTGATTAGGCTCTGGCACCCAGTTGTTTGGTCAAATACTAGTCTAGGTGTTGCTGTAAAGATATTTTGTAGATGTGATTAACATCTACAATTGGCTGACCTTAAGTAAAAGAGATTTACCATTGATAATGTGAGTGGGGCTCATCCAATCAGTTGAAAGTCTTTAGAGGAAAAACTGAGATTTCCAAGGGAGGAAGAAATTCAGTCTCAAGACTGAAATAGAGAAATCTAGCATGGGCTTTGTTTACCATCCTGCCCTACACATTTCAGACTCAAGGCCTCAACATCAACCACCACCTGAATTTCCAGCTTGAGGGCTAGCCCTAGGAATGTTGGCCTTGCCCCCCCCCCCCCCCCCCCCCCCCACAATGTGTGATCTAAATTTCTATGGAATATGTGCACATAGTCTACTGGTTCTGTCTCTCTGGAGAACCCTAATACTCGGGGTACTGACACCTGCCCTAACTTACAGTGTGTGCACAGCTAACACTTCAGGTGAGGTGTGGGTCAAGAATTTGCATAAAATAGACTGCCATAGCAACACCTATACATGACATCTTATGTGATGACCATTGTAAACCAAAGAAAATTCTTCATGCATACTTTCAAAAATCCTAGCTCCACTTTGAAACTGCATATGCCTTTAAGATTTCAGGGAGCTTCAAGATTATCACCTTAGATTTCAAAGGATAAATAAACCTACCCTGGTGCATTCACATTGGCCCAAGGCCCCACACACGTGCTCCCAAGTTCTTCTTGAGTGAGGTAGATTCAGATGCCTTCAATGAAACCTCATCTGAATACCCCATGAGAGGTATTTAAGTATTGCACATTTTACTTTCCTTCATGACCTTTGAGTTACCTGCCATTCTACAGATTCTGAAGTTCGATGAGGAATCTTTGCAATGACTTGTAGGAAATTGAAGAGATCCATTCTTCCTTTTCACTGCTCAAATTCTAAACTAATTAGAGTTGACTATGAGATATGGAACACTCAGTTAATTCAAATCTTAGGCAAACAATGAGCAAGTTTTTAGTATAAAAACGTCCCAAGTATTACATGAGGCATACTTATATTTTAAAAATTGCCATTCATTTGAAATTCAAATTTCACTGTGTTGCTATATTTTTAGTTCCTAAATCTGACAACACTTGCTAGTAATTGAGAGATACAATTACAGAGTAAATCAAACAAAAGGGTAAAACATCACATTTGCTAATATAATGGTAAATAATATTGATAAAATACTTCATAATTGCCAGCATTTTTACTTTAATGTTGATAAGAATACTCTAATAAATTATAATCATAAAAGCTGACTTAAAGGGCTTTGGTGTTTCCAGATAGCATAGTTCAAAAGACATTTTACCCAGGGATGGTGAGGAATGATGAGAGATAACACTTTTTAACTTAAGAGATAATAATTCTGAAAAATAAAAAAATATATATACAAAATAAAGAAAAAAGATACAAACTTCCAGTTATAAAATAAATAAGTCACAAGGATGAAATGTACAGTATAGAGAATACAGTTAATAATAATGCACCAAACACCTTTGTATGGTGACAGTTGATAGATTTATCAGGGTGATCATTTTGTAATGTATAGAATTGTAGAATCACTACATTGTACACCCGACACAAATATAATATTGTATGTCAACTACAATAAAAAATATAAACAAAAATAAAACAAACTTGCATACCTGAAAAAAAGAAAGAAAATATTGCATTATCTGTAATTTTAACACACAGAGATAAACATGAATAATATCTTGATGTATTTCCCTCCAGTCTTGGATGTGCATGTGCATGCACACGTACATGGTGTATAAATCTGCACAAGCAGAGTGAGGAATTGGTAGAGTATTCTCAAGAGGTCCATTCTGCCCACCTCTTCAGCTCTGAAGTTTGTCAGGTTTATTAATTTGTATTCCCTAATACTTACGGGTGACTGGCATATCAGGACCGCATAAAGACTTCTGGAATGAAGGGAGAGCAGGCTTTGATGAAATGTGGATTAAGAGGGAAGTCAGGAAAACTCAACAGCAATCACCCACTGAGTGGCTAGAACAGTATGTCATACAACCGAGTGGTCAAGAGGCACCAGCTCAAAAGCTGACACAAGACATACTGAATAATGGCCACTACCAACTACTGTTTCCACCAATAGACATTTTGACCTCATGAGGAAAGAGTCTTCTAGATGGTCTTCTTGTATTTTACTTGGGTCTGACCTGGTTCTATACTAATTTGACTCAATGAAACCAAATGGCCACACGATATAAATTTTGAAACTGTAGTTTCTTTAGCCCTACATTTATCGGAGTCCTCCTTTGTTCCAGAGACAGAGCTAGACAGTGGATATCCAAAGATAGGAAAACAAAACGTGATTTTTGCCCCTATGGAAGTTTGCTTTGTGGGAATTAAAGAGGACAATAAATAAACACAAAATATTCAATAAGAAAAAATACGGAAAATGAAAGCAAGATTCTATAATAATAACAATAAGAATTTTGGTTTGGAGACATCACGAAGGCCTCTCTGAGACACAAATGATTGACAGGGGTGTTTTGAGAGAGGGAGGAAAGTACATATGAGACAAAAGGAAATGATAGCGGTGAAGAAGTCGAAATAGAAAGAACTTGGTATACTGGAGGCAGTGAAAGATTAATGTGACCGAATCTTAAAGAAACATGACAGGATGAGGTTGGAAAGGTACCAAGCCTCTACAGAAAGCATATTTCAGCTACATCAATGATGTTTTACTTATTTCCAAGCACAAGAAAGTGTCATTGCTTTGTTGTAGATATAAACAATGTTGTCAGCAGATTTTTAAAAAGAACAACAGTATGAAAAGATGCATTATAGACAGTTTTAAAGAAACTGATTGTCTGTGTTTTCTCTTATAAAAGAGAAGCATTTTTGATTCCTAGAGGCATTTACTGAGTATTTTAAGTAATAATAAAAAGACTAGGAATACAAACCAAAACTGCAATGTGATATCACCTCACAACTGTCAAAACGGCTAAACTAAAAAAAAAAAACAACTGAAGAAACAACAGATGTTGGCGAGGATGTGGAGAAAAAGGAACACTTGTGCACTGTTGGTGGGAATGCAAACTGTGGAAACAATATGGACATTCCTCAAAAAGTTAAAAATAGAACTATCCTATGATCCAGCAATCACACTACTGAGTATTTACCCAAAAAATTCAAAAACACTAATGCAAACGGATACACGCACCCGCATTTTTATGGCAGCATTATTTACAATAGCCAAGATATGGAAGCATCCCAAGTGCCCATCAGCTGATGAATAGATAGAGAAGATGTGGTACATATATACAATGGACTATTATTCAGCCATAGAAAGAATGAAGTCTTGCCATTTGCAATGACATGGATAGAGCTAGAGAGTATAATGCTAAGCTAGGTAGATCAGTCTGAGAAAGACAAATACCATATGATCTCACTCATATGTGGACCTTCAGAAATAAAGCAGGGGCACCTGGGTGGCTTAGTGGGTTGAACATCTGACTTGTGATTTCAGCTCAGGTTGTGACCCCGGGGTTGGGAACCCCTGTGTTGGGATTCACGCTGAGCGTGGAACCTGCTTAAGATTCTCTCTCTCTCTCTCTCTCTCTCTCTCTCTCTCTGCCCCTCTTCCTTGCTCACACTCTCTCTCTCTAAAATAAAAATTTAAAAAAAGAAACAAAACAGGGGCGCCTGGGTGGCGCAGTCGGTTAAGTGTCCGACTTCAGCCAGGTCACGATCTCACGGTCCGTGAGTTCGAGCCCCGCGTCAGGCTCTGGGCTGATGGCTCAGAGCCTGGAGCCTGTTTCCGATTCTGTGTCTCCCTCTCTCTCTGCCCCTCCCCCATTCATGCTCTGTCTCTCTCTGTCCCAAAAATAAATAAACGTTGAAAAAAAAGAAAGAAAGAAACAAAACAAACAAGCAAAGGGAAAAAGAGAGAGAGAAACTAAGAAACAGACTCTTAAGTATAGAGAACAGACTGATGATTGTTAGAGGGGAAGTGGGTAGGAGGATATGTTAAATAGGAGATGGGGATTAAGAAGTATACTTGTGATGAGCCCTGGACGATGCATGGAAGTGCTGAATCTCTATATTGTGCGCCTGAAACTAATATCACACTGTATGTTAACTAACTGGAACTAAAATAAAAGCTTTAAAAATAATAAAAAAGACTAAATAGAATTAAATCTTTAGGTTTGGGATTCATATCACCAAATATACTGTATAGTTGCTTTTACAAATTTTTCACCAATTATTAATAAGCTTATGAAAATTCCATTTTATCTTCTTTTTTAGATGTTTATTTACTTATCTTTGAGAGATAGAGAGAGCACCAGTGGGAGACAGGCAGAGACAGAGAGGGAGACACAGAATCCGAAGCAGGTTCCAGGTTCTGAGCTGTCAGCACAGAGCCTGATGTGGGGCTCACACTGACGAACCACAAGATCATGACCTGAGCCGAAGTCAAACACTCAACAGACTAAGCCACCCAGATGCCCCTAAAAATTCCATTTTAACTCTCTTTCTTAGGTATATAAATTTCTCCTTTTATCATTTATCATTTTGTTAGTGGCTTTGGCAATTATATATTAAAAAACTGAAGTCTAAAATATGATTATAACCGAAGGAAACTATAAGCAGAGAAAAATAGCATTAACTTATAAAAGCTGTATCAAATGCTATCTCAAGCTGCAAACATCAGAGTAAAATTGTTTAAAGCCCAGAAAGAGCGAAAGTTTGATGTTCTGGGATGAGAATCAAGTTTGGAGCAAAAGCCATCTACACGAGCTGTGAAGGCCAAGACGAAAAACGTATCGTCGTGTAAACAAGTACATGAATGAACTTATTCATTTCGGAACGACTGATTTGACCAAGTTAGACAACATAAAGTCATTTCAGCCAAGCGAAGACTGGATGTTAACTGTAACAGAGCCAACAAACAGAAGAGTCAGAAAACTAGAGAGCAAAGTGTTAAGACTGCTGGCATTTATATCCGTGTGTAGACATAAACTTAGAAGTGAGGCTATATTCTGTAGTAAGAACACCATCAATGCACTGTGTGCAACAGTTCTCTGCTCTGAGAAAAGCCTCTTTTTATTTCAATGGTTTTCCTTTAGAGGAAAATATTTGCTAAAGGAGAAAAAATTTCTCATATATATGATATATGATATATATACACATATATATATATAATGTACACACTGTGTGGGTTATCCCTGCAGATTAATGCAGGAACCCATCCATAACCAGAGGTAGTAACGGTGGGAGTTGTAGTAGCCACAGTAATAGTTACCACATTTTAATATGGTCTATCCTTAATCCAGTATAATACCGTATGATTACTTTAGGTGCTCCCTACATCAGGAGAATTCCATAAAGTTGTATGCCCAAGTACAGTGCCTGGGTACACAGGCACACCTCATGTTCTTGCCCTTCACTTCATTGAACTTCGCAGCGATTGCATTTTCCTTTTCTTTCTTTCTTTCCTTCTTTCTTTCTTTCTTTCTTTTTTTCTTTCCTGGGTAGTGTAAACATAATTTTGCATGCACTGGGAAGTAAAAAAAAAAAAAATCATTTAACTTGCCTTATTTGCAGTATACCTGCAAATACCTGCAGATATCTGCAGTATCTCTGAGGTACGTTTGTAGTAGGTACACCAAAAATAAGGCAAATTAGTGAGCCAATTAATATATTAATTGTGTGTGTGTGTGTGTGTGTGTGTGTGTGTGTGTGTGGTGAAATGAAAAGACTGAATTTTTTTTAAAGATTGAATTTTTGATTAATAGTTTTAGATTTGCAGGCAAATTGGGCAGCTGGTACAGAACTTCCCAGGTTCCCACCTCCTGTGCCCCATATACTATTCCTTTATAATTAATATCTTGCATTAGTATGGGACATTTCTTATAATTAATGAACCAATATTTTTTTTTAATTTTTTTTCAACGTTTATTTATTTTTGGGACAGAGAGAGACAGAGCATGAACGGGGGAGGGGCAGAGAGAGAGGGAGACACAGAATCGGAAACAGGCTCCAGGCTCTGAGCCATCAGCCCAGAGCCCGACGCGGGGCTCGAACTCACGGACCGCGAGATCGTGACCTGGCTGAAGTTGGACGCTTAACTGACTGCGCCACCCAGGCGCCCCTTAATGAACCAATATTAATACACTGTTATTAACTAAAGTCCATAGTTGACATGAAGGGTTGCTACTTGTGCTGTACTGTTCTATGGGCTTTGACAGATGCATAATGTCATGTATCAATCATTACAGTATCATACAGAACAGTTTTCCTGCCCCCCAAATCCCCTGTGCTTCACCTGCTAACCCCTATCCATGCCCTCTAAACACTTGGCAAACACTGATCTTTTTACTGTTTCTATAGTTATGCCTTTTTCAGAATGCCATATGGTTGGAATCATACAATATGTTGACATTGAAGATCGGCTTCTTTCATTTAACAATATACATTCAATTTTAATCCAAGTCTTTTTATGGCTTGATAATTCATTTTTCAAAAATAATTTTAGGGGTGCCTGGGTGGCTCAGTCGGTTAAGCGGCCGACTTCGGCTCAGGTCATCATCTCGCGGTCCGTGAGTTCGAGCCCCGCGTCGGGCTCTGTGCTGACAGCTCAGAGCCTGGAGCCTGTTTCAGATTCTGTGTCTCCCTCTCTCTGACCCTCCCCTGTTCATGCTCTGTCTCTCCCTGTCTCAAAAATAAATAAAATGTTAAAAAAAATTTAAAAAAATAATTTTAATTATTTTCCATTGTAGGGGTATACTGCAATTTCATTCACCTTTGAAGTATATCTTGAGTGCTTCCAGGTTTTGGCGAGTATGAATAAAACTGCTATAAACAGAATGCTCTCAGTTCCTTCCTCCCATTCTTTATAGCGCTGCTGCCATTCATTTTACTTGTCCATTTACTACATTATCTGTTTGTCTTTGCACGTTGTCCACTTTTTCCAGTAGAGTCCTTCACATAGTAATCATATTTATTTTAGATTCTCTGTCTGGTCATTTCAAAATCTGTGTCATCTCTGGAAAACAGTGTGGAGGTTCCTCAAAAAATTAAAAATAGATCTACCCTATGACCCAGCAATAGCACTGCTAGGAATTTACCCAAGGGATACAGGAGGACTGATGCATAGGGGCACTTGTACCCCAATGTTTATAGCAGCACTCTCAACAATAGCCAAATTATAGAAAGAGCCTAAATGTCCATCAACTGATGAATGGATAAAGAAATTGTGGTTTATATACACAATAGAGTACTACGTGGCAATGAGAAAGAATGAAATATGGCCCTTTGTAGCAACATGGATGGAACTGGAGAGTGTTATGCTAAGTGAAATAAGCCATACAGAGAAAGACAGATACTATATGGTTTCACTCTTATGTGGATGCTGAGAAACTTAACAGAAACCCATGGAGGAGGGGAAGGGAAAAAAAAAAGGTTAGAGTGGAAGAGAGCCAAAGCATAAGAGACTCCTAAAAACAGAACAAACTGAGGGTTGATGGGGGGTGGGAGTGAGGGGAGGGTGGGTGATGGGTATTGAGGAGGGCACCTTTTGGGATGAGCACTGGGTGTTGTATGGAAACCAATTTGACAATAAACTTCATAAAAAAAACCAAAATCTGTGTCATATATGAGTTGTGTTCTGATACTTGCTTTGTCTTGCCAGACTGTGTTTTTCTTGTCTTTTAGCATACCTTGTAATTTTTGGTTGAAAGCTGGGCATGATGCATTGGGTATTAGGCACCGGGGTAATTAGGCTTTTAGTGTGAGGTTTTATGTTAATCCGGCCAAGAGTTGGGTTGTGTTTAATGTTCACCATGGCTGTAGATGCTAGAAGCTTTAGTTTTCTCTAGTTTCCTTGTTGGACATTTACTCCCTCCCCCCATTGCCTATGATTTTCCCCTAAGAACCCCTTCTTAAATAGATTCCACATCTTGAATATTTCTCAGTTCCAATCTGTTGTTTTTAAGTTGAAGCCCTGTTGATGTGCTGGTAAGATGCTGGGGAGGGTAAGCATTATATATTTTTATAGTTACAGCTCAGGTTTTGAGTAGAACTTAGTCCCTGGGAAGTATGCCTTAGTGCTTTTTTTTTTCTCTCTCTCTCTCTTTATGTGGGACAAAGAGGCTAACAGGAGCTGGAGTTGGCTGGTTGCCCTTCCATCAAGTCAGAGAGGCCTCTGGTAAAGTAGCTTCCCATGGACAACAGGCCTTTGTTAATTTTCCTTTGGGCATAATTCAAAATATTTACTAAAAACAGTAAAAGAGTGGCCAGTTTAAGGACATATACAGGAAAAATAATAACTTTGACTAGAGTGAAAAGAGATGATGACAGAAAAAAACAAAATGTCTCAATATGATGTATTTGTTATTTGAGAAAAATGATTCTGATGAATTAAACAGAAATCAAAATTCAAAGGTAAGCTAGAAGCGATTTGTGCTAAAATTAAGAATAGTAACTAATCTGCAAGTAAAAAATGCACTTTCTTCTCTTGGAAAGATTAATACAGAACATAAATGTCAAGCCATCATTTGGTGATGTTACCAAGGCTCAAGGTGTAGAAAACATCTTATGAGCCTCCAGAGGAGAAAAGAAAATGACCTAAACAGTGGAAAATGATTAGGCTGGCTTCAGACTTTTCCACTGCAACCTTTAGAGCCAGAAGACAATGAAGCAATGTCTCAATGTCCCAAGAAAAATGTGACCTAAGAATATCCTACCAAACAATTTGTCCTCAGAGTAAAAAGTTCACAGACATTTTCAAACATGCAAGGCCTCAGGGAATTTGGCACATATGAGATGTTTTTTTGGGAAAAAAAAAATCTGGAAACAAATGTAGCTAAAAGCATTGTTATCTGTAGATACACAGAGATAACATTTTGGGCCCTGAGCATTTGGATGGTTATCTTCCCTTTTTCTCAAAATGTCCTTGAATTTTTATAATGACAAAAATATATAATTTATACCAAAATAATAAGCTTTTTAAAAAGATGCAACATAAAAAAAAGCAAATAAAATGTAATACTTTAGAGTCCAAATTATGATAAAAAAGCTTCAACTGTGTCTATAATTGTTATTATAAGTATTACCGATTAGGCTTGAGCAATGTGAAAATGATACAGAAAACATGATCTACCATAAGCTCTCCATGAAGCAGAAATTTAATGGTACTACTATCACATGTTGTTTGTCAATGATTTGTTGATACCTTACATCAAGTTACTGGGAAGACATATAAAAATAATAAATTTAGCAGAAAACTCTCAGATCATACAAAAAAGTTTTCAGAAAGTCCATGCATAAATGTTCAAAGACTGTCTCCACTCATGATTTATTCACTCATCTTTTACTAGTCCCTGTTGGGAGCCCCTCCTTTCTCAGTTCATTGCAGGCTCAAGGGTAAAGCATTTGGCCGGAGGTCTAGGTTGGTTCATTAATTTATTCAACAAATATTTGTTGAATGCCTATTGTGTGATTATGGGCTAGAAATGCAGCGATAAAACGAATGTATCGTGGTTTTGTGAAGATAACATTCTGGCGAAGAAAATAAAGAAAGTAATCATTTATGCAGTGATGTCAAATAGAAGCGTTCTGAAGAAGGTTGGCTCTCTTTTAGACAGAGTGGTCAGAAAAGGAGTGACCGTAAAGGTAACATTTGAGCTGAGCCTCAAATGAGGCAAGGACTCAGCTGAATAGACACTACATTCTCTCAACTCCATTTTTTTAAGTAATGTGCATTGATTTTATCAGAATTAATAGTGCAAAAAGTAATATTTTCTTAGGTTACTAGAGTAAAGAATTCCCCTTTCCCCCTGGATTTTCACCTGAAAAGATGTAAGATATGGAGCAGACGTAGTCACCTCCTTTGCTAGGTGGCCCACTGAGAATGACGTCAACCAAAAGCAAATTCTCTGAAAAGAGAGAAATGTACTTTTCAGTTACTTGGGTCAATGAATTCCCTGTTTCCTAAGTCAGTTTGAGTTTTTGCTCTCTATACCTCTATTCAGAAAGATTCCTAACCAGTATGGAAACTCTCTCAAATTCTCATCACAAGTCCGTACCATATGTCTTTGTATGTGACACAAGGAAGCATTAGCAGCAAATAAACATGAAACCTTGCTGCATGAGGCCCATGGGCAGTGGCTTGAAAAGTGTTGAGAGATAGTCTGGCAGTTAGCTAAATAGAAAGATGCAATTAAAAAGAGAGAGAGAGAGAGAGAAGAAAGGCCAAAACCCACTTATCATAAATGCAAGTAATCCTATGATATATATTTTAGAATAGCCCAAGCAAATCATAGTTTATTAAGTAATTATGTCTTACTTTGAATTACTGTGCATTTGATTCAGGCAGTCAATCATTAATTGGCTGATTCATTCAAATAACACTGAGCATGGATTTGGGCCAAGCAGTATTTTAGACACTAAGGATACAATTGTGAATGTGACCAATAAATTTTAGGCATCGTGGTGTTTATATACACCCAGGGGAGATACATGTAAAAACAGAAAAATATAATAACAGATTGTGGCAAGTGCTATGAAAAAAAATTGTAGTGAGGCATTAGAGTATGATGCAAAGGAAGAGGGTCTACTAGGATGGGGAGGAGGCCAGGCAGGAAAATAAAACCGTAGTAAGATGAAAGTGTACTTTATTAAGTTAAGGCATAATTTCAAAAGTCAAAATCGAAAGATTTGTAGGGTGAATCAAGTCTGCAGATACAATTTTGGACTCTGCAGTGCTTTAAAATAAGTTGATTTTAAATTTCTTTAGCTTTACACATGTGTTCTCAAAGATGCTACTATACAGCCATCATTTTTTGACATTTATTCAGTTCGTTTGTGTTATAGGGAACCCCTGCCTGAACTTTGTTTAGAACATGTGTGTCTGTATGTAGAACTGACCTAGTGGAAAGGGAGATACTGGGAGGGAGGAGAGAATTCAAGAAACACAGAGCTTGAAAGGAGGAAAGGGTATAAGATCCTGGGCATCATTTGGGGGGTTTACTTTTAATGCCTTAGTCTGTCACAGAAGGGAAAACAGAGGGTGCCTATACGCACAAGAGGATTTGATGGCCGAAGTTAATTGAGCATTATTCTGATGATTTTTACCATCACTCTGTTTTAAAAGGAATATGGGATGTTTGACAACAGAGGAAATGTTATAAAGTAGTCATCTTAGAATGTCAGAAAGGGCATCATCATCATCATCAGAAACATAGTATGGTTGAAGATTAGTTTAAAGAATTTAAAGTGAGCCCATCATTGTGTGTGATATTCACTGGTAATAGACAGCCGTTCCAATACAGAAGAGAAGAAAGCTGGGAGTTGTGTTCAACTAAAGTTGAGGTTTTCCCAGGTGAGTATGATGGGAAGAAGAAGAAAAAAAAAGATAGCAGAAAGTACTTGAAAAGGTATGCATATGAAAATGGTGCATCCAACCTAAAGGTAAGGAGAGAAGTAAAACAGGAGATTTAATGAATTGTGGGAAAGTGATGGAAGCTATGGAAGAAGGCCTCATTAGGCAAAAAGAAAAATAATAATAGGGCCCCATTAGTAGGTTTAAGTAAAACCTGGTGATGATGAGCTAAAAGGCATGACAGTGGTGGTGAGTGGCTGGGTAGGAATGTGGTAACTTTCCTGTATCTGAGGAGATAAAGCAGCCGTCACACCACCATGATAGATGGATCGTGTACATGGAGGTTGGCATCACTGGAGATGATGACCGGGTATGAATAGAGGGTATAAGCGAGCCAGGAGCTGAAGTCATCAACAGCAAGGGGTTTGGCTAGGAGATCAAGCAGTTGATGACAAGGGAGAGGTTACAGATAGTTAAACCAAATGCCATGAATTCCAGAATGGGCAAAATTTTTGCAAGAGTAAAGAGGACAAGTCATTTGAAAGAGAAAATCTAAAACAAGTAAAATCCCCCCATCTTTGAGTTATGTGAGTGAAGAATTAAAAAAAAAGAAAACATCAGTTTAAAGGACAGCAGCAGAAAACTTTGCCAGGAGGCAGCCAGATTCTATTATTATTATTATTATTATTATTATTATTATTTAATTTACTTGTTTAAATTCAAGTTAGTTAACATACAGTATAGTATTGGTTTCAGGAGTAGAACTCAGTGATTCATCACTTAAGTATAACACCCAGTGCTCATCCCAACAAGTGCCCTCCTTAATGCCCATCACTATTTATCCCATCCTCCCATGTTCCTCCCCTCCAGCAACCCTCAGTTTGTTCCTACAGTTAAGAATCTTTTAGTTTGCCTTCCTCTCTGTTTTTGTCTGATTTTTCCTTCCCTTCCCTTCCCCTATGTTTATATGTTTTGTTTCTTAAATTCCACATATGAGTGGAATCACATGATATTTGTCTTTCTCTGACTGACTTATTTTGCTTAGTTTAATACACTCTAATCCATGTTGTAGCAAATGGCAAGATTTCATTCTTTTTGATCTTTGAGTATTGTTCCATTGTATATGTAGACCATTTCTTCTTTACCTATTCGTCAGTTGATGGACATTTGGCTTCTTTCTGTTATTTGGCTATGGTTGATAGTGCTGCTATAAACTTTGGGATGCAGGTGCCCCTTAGAATCAGCATTTTTGTATCCTTTGGATAAATACCCAGCAGTGTAATTGCTGGATCATAAGGTAGAGGGTAGTTCTATTTTTAATTTTTTGAGGAACTTCCATACTATTTTCCAGAGTGGTTGCCCCAGATTGCATTCACACCAACAGTGCAAAAGAGATCCTCTTTCTCCGCATCCTCACCAACATCTGCTGCTTCCTGAGTTGTTCATTTTAGCTATTCTGACAGGTGTGAGGAGGTATCTCATTGTGATTTTGGTTTTTATTTCTCTGATGATGAGTAATGTTGAACATCTTTTCATGTGTCTATTAGCCACCTGGATGTCTTCTTTGGAAAAGTGTCTATTCATGTCTTCTGCCCATTTCTGTACTGGATTATTTGTTTTTTGAGGTTGAGTTTATTAAGTTCTTCATAGATTTTGGATAATAATGCTTTATCCAATATGTCATTTGCAAATATCTTCCTTTCTGTTGATTGCCTTTTAATTTTATTGATTGTTTCCTTCGCTGTGCAGAAAATTTTTATCTTGATGAGGTCCAAAAGTTCATTTTTGCTTTTGTTTCCCTTGCCTCTGGAGACATTTCTAGTAAGAAGTTGTTGTGGCTGAGGTCAAAAAGGTTGCTTCTTATTTTCTCCTGTAGGATTTTGTTAGTTTCCTGCCTTACATTTAGGTCTTTCATCTATTTTGAATTTATTTTTGTGTGTGGTGTAAGAAAGTGGTCCAGGTTCATTCCTGTGCATATCACTGTCCAATTTTCCCAGCATTATTTGCTGAAGATACTGTGTTTTTTTTTTTTTCCATTGGATACTCTTTTCCTGCTTTGTCAAAGATTAGTTAGCGATACCTTTGTGGATCTCTGTCTGGGCTCTCTGTTCTGTTCCATTGACATCTGTGTCTGTTTTTGTGCCAGTACCACACCGTCTTGATGAGTACAGCTTTGTAACACAGCTTGAAGTCCAGCATTGTGATGCCTCCAGCTTTGGTTTTCTTTTTCAACATTACTTTGGCTATTCGAGGTCTTTTGTGATTCCATACAAATTTTAGGATTATTTGTTTCAGCTCTGTGAAGAATGTTGGTGTTATTTTGATAGGGATTGCATTGAACGCGTAGATTGCTTTGAGTAGTATAGATATTTTAGCAATGTTTGTTCTTCCAACCCGTGAGCATGGAATGTTTTTCCATTTCTTTGTGTCTTCCTCCATTTCTTTCATAAACTTTCCATAGTTTTCAGCGTATGGATCTTCTACCTCTTTGATTAGGTTTATTCCTAGGTATCTTATATTTTTGGTACAGTTGTAAATGGGATCCAGTCCTTGATTTCTCTTTCTGCTGCTTCATTATTGGTGTATAGAAATGCAAATGACTTTTGCTCATTGATTTTATAACCTGCAACTGCTGAATCCATGTATCAGTTCTTGCAGTTTTTTGGTGGAGTCTTTCAGGGGGTGGACCAACATGTTGGTGGAATCTTTCGTTTTTTTCCTCATACAGTGTCTTGTATGTCATCTGTGAAGAGTGTAAGTTTGACTTCCTCTTTGCCATTTGGTTTGCCTTTTATTTCTTTGTGTTGTCTGATTGCTGAGGCCAGGACTTCCAGCACTATATTAAACAATAGTGGTTAGAGTGGACATCTCTGTCGTGTTCCAGACTTTAGGGTGAAAGGGAATGCTCTCAGTTTTTCCCCATATTGGCTGTAGGCCTTTCATATATGGCTTTTATGATGTTTAGATTTCTTTAAGATAAAATAAGCAAAGGGAAACTTTCCAAAAGAAACAGAAGGCAAAGGAGAGTTTTCAGATTTCAGGTCAGCCTTGACAGATTCTGGAGGAGGTGATCAGATCAGATTAGGGGATACATCAGCACAGTGTATGTGGGTTTATGGTCTAAAACTCCAGGACTTCTATTACTGAGTTCAAAGTCTTTATGGCAACATGCAGATTCTTAGGAAGGTAGCTAGTCACTTCAGGTATTGTTTTTATTCTTGATAAGCGGTGGAGGGGGATATCTACACCCTCACATAGCTCTTACTGATGTGGTCCTCTGGCATTGAGGACAAGGACAGGCAGCACTATGCTGTCCTCAGAGTGCTCTTTTCTGTTCGTTACTGCTGCAGAACAAAGAGAATTATTAAGAGAAGACCATTCTGTTTAAAATTAATTCCATTTAAGCAAGCAGGACGATGTTTAATTAATTTTGTTAAGAGTTGTAGCCAAAAGGATTTGTAAAATGTTTGGGGGCTTAAAGAGATAAAGCCAGAAAGCCTTAGTTACTAGATTATGCAACTAGTCTTAATAACTGATCCCCTGAGGGTTTCTGATAACCAAGCTCAGGCTCTATTAAGAAAATCATCATGAAACTAAAAGATATTTACCAAGGATAAGAAAGACTAGAACTGGTAATTAATCCTTCTCACTATTAAACAGAGATTAGGTCCTCATGGGATTGTTACAAATTTGAGCTCCCATAGTTCAAAATAGATTTTGAAATATTGGAGACAGCCCAAATAAGACCAAGATGAATAAATTAAAAACTGCCCATTTTTTATAAGGAAAAATGAAACAGTTACTTATTTGGAAAAAGAGGAGACTCAGGAATGGTCATTTTTGTTTTCAATCCTATATTAGGACAAGTAATTTAGTTATTGCCTTCTCACAAAACAACTGCATTAGTAGACAGTGTTATGAAGCCCAAGGACAGCATCACTTAAACCAACAGGTGACCAAAGGACAGTGTGAAAATATTAGTTCTGAAAATAGAGTCTTATAGGTTCGGTCAGAGTCTTCCAGAAAACAAGGGACTCCGTAGATGCCACCTTTGTCACCTGACAATGTGTGCAGAGTATTAGACTAAATAATGCAGGAAGAAGAAAAAAATTAGGTATTTTCATGGATAGTCTATTCATCTGTTTTTATCCCAAAGCACCTAGAAGAGGCTAAAAACTGGTGACAGGTAAACAGCCTAGAATCTAAGAAACTGAGAGATGCCACTGTCTTTTTACCTTCACCCATATCCCTCAGATGAGCTCAGTAACATCAGGGAACTTGACCCAATTTGATTTTCTCTTTGTGTCACATGTGACCTTAGAGAATTAAATGATTGAGTGCCACCCACCTGGGAATGGAGAACTACTCTGATCGAGAACGTGTCGGGAGAGTTAACAATAGGTAAACTCATCTAGCACGCACTGTGGGACAGCGCTGTAACACAGCCAGTGTAGGAACCCAGCTTCATGCCTTTTTGTAGAAATGCTTCTGAAAGTAGCCTCCACATGATGTGAAACTGCAGGATGCAGGGAAGGAGTCCCTACCCCCCAGGATGGCCTCTCTGCTATTGGAGAGGTCTTGATAGATTCTGCACTTTATCCAGTATCCCTGCTTCCATTACAAATAAAACTGGTCCCAAGAAAAATAACTCACACTGAGAACAGATCATGTGGAAGCAGGTATGCGTGATGAGGATGACTGACTGTGCCCTGAATCCCCAAAAATTGGGGGTAGGAGGGAGAACAGGAGGGAAGGCAGAA